CTCGCGACAGAGATAGACAAGAAGCGGCGTTGTTTTCTTCAGATCTGAGATTCAGGGAGTGAGAGAGCTTAAAGATGAGCGGCAAGATCGTCGGCGATGGTGCAAGTGTCGGAGCCAGAAAAAACTCAAACGGGATTTCCGATATTCCTTCGGGGTCGAGGAAGATGGTACAAAGTTTGAAGGAAATTGTTAACTGCCCTGAAGCCGAGATCTATGCCGTGCTCAAGGACTGTAACATGGATCCTAACGAAGCCGTTAATCGCCTCCTCTCCCAAGGTTTCTCCCTTTTTTTTTTTTTCTAACTCTTCTCCCGTTCTGAGGAAGTGAACGGTAAATTGGGCATCGGAGATAACTAAGGTTTCCTCCCCTTGCTCGGAGATTTTGTTTTGGATGCTCAACACTCTTATTACTGAGAGTTTGTGTTAATTAGGGTTAGATTTGGGTTCTCGAAAGTTTCTTCTTTTGAGTATTTAGTCCTCCTCGTTGAACTCTATACTTGCTTTCGAGATGCTTAATGTCTTTTCATGATTCTGATTCTTTGTCTTTCACTATTTCAGATCCTTTTCACGAGGTGAAGAGCAAAAAAGAAAAGAAGAAAGAGGTAAGATCATCATCATGTCTTTGTCTGCCATTGAAGTCCTTTGTTGGCATTTTAGTTAGAAACATAGTAAACTGAATCGCATCTCTGTGTTTTCAATCGTTTTTGCTCATTTTGTTGTACTGTTGGAGAGTTTATAACATTACTTGTTTGTTCAGACTAGGGATATACCGGATTCCCGATCACGAGGCTATAGCAACTCTTACAACCGTGGGAATAAAGGTGGTTCTGATCGTTATGCTGGACGAAGTGGAGCTACCCCTTTCAGCTCCAGTGGTACATACATGGCTCTTTTACTTTAGAATACTAGATTAGAAAACTTATTTCATTCTAGCTATGAATCCCCGTTATCATATTTCTGTTGTTCAGAGCCAGGAAGTTTCCAAGGAAAAACTACAAACAAAAGGGAGAGCGGGATGCAGACTTCTCAAGGTTCTTTTTCTTCTACATCTGGAGTATCAAGCCACCATCAGATACCACACAGGTTTAACTTTGACTGATCAATTCAACTTTCTTATCTACATAGCTGCATGATGCAACAAGTATAATGAAAAAACAAGACCTTCTCTTAAGAGAGGAAACCATGGCATTGCGCAAATAAAGAGGATAGGGTAGTATCAAAATCCATAAATCATTAATACCATATAACTTTCCCAAAAAAACAAAAAATATAGTCTATAAGCTGAACTTAATCAGATTCATTCTTTTTTTTTTTAGTGCCTCAACTATAAGGTTTGTTGCAAAGAAATATCCCCTTTGCACTATGTCTTTCTTCTTTTTGTCATCTCCCACGAGTTCCATTCAAGCTGAAGCAATGTTCCATAGTCTTTCTGATGACAAGCAGGGCCAGATATTTCCTTCGAAAGCGATAAACTCCTATTGAGGCACTAAACAATGAATCTGATTGGGATTGTGACTACATTGCTTCTTTTGTGGCCTTTGTTGGGAAGTACTTCCTTTTGTTAGTCTTATGGATTTTAATACTCCTGTGCCTCTTTCTTTTACCAGTTGAATGCAATTGGACAAGTGAGTAGCCTGCCCTAAAATGAATAATTGATTTTGAACATATTCACCCATATCGTCAGCGATTAAATTGGTAGGGTTTAGTTAGTAGGCGTTTTAGACCAACTACTGCAGTGGCTACACTGATTAGCAAAGCTTTTATTGGTTCTGATTCTGCATGGCTTGAAGTAGTTTGGTGGCCTGTGGCTTAGTGGTAGAAGAACAGATACGCTTATTGTTTTATCCGAGTGTTCCTTTTGATGAGGTTTGAAAGTTTTTACGCTGATGCTAAGCAATTTTTCACATACAATTGATGTTTGATTTACTAGAAACAAGGAAGCTTTTTAGCATAGTAAAATTTGTATGTACTTGGATATGGAGTTATTATTTTTTTTATGTAATGTTAGTTGTGTTTATGGATTAAAATCATGCACCACTGATGAAAAGGTGTGAAGTCCTTACTTTGCCATATTTCACTTTTCCTTACTGTAGTTTTCCTATTTCTGCATTTTCGAGAATTATAGTTTTGTTCATCTCTACATTTGAGCTGCTGGTTTCTCATGTATGTTGTATATATTTTGCAGTGATTCTGTTTCTATGGACAGTAAGACGCCAACTATTACCTCGGGTGGCGGAATATCATCATTACAGTCTGTTTCTGGACATCAAACTGCATGGTTTGGAGCTGCAGGTCAGATGTCTATGGCTGACATTGTGAAGAAGGGCAGACCTCATAACAATTCAACAAACTCTCAGAAAAAAGTCGATATGCGTTCTGAGGTAAATCACGAGCATGAAAGTGCTGCAAATCAACATGTACCTGTGAAAGATGAATGGCCCTCGATTGAGAAACCAGTGGCGGCTAGCACTTCTTTTGTATCAGTGGCTCCAACTGAGTCAGAGGTATTCAATGGTCCAGCAGATTTCCAATCCAATACAGGAGATCAACATCTGAAGGGCCAGTTGGAAGATACACATTTAGGAGAAAATGGTCCCTTTGGAAATCTTGGAAGAGAGCTCATGCAGCCTGACACTGTCGCTGGTGGAGTTGTTCAGGAAGATGACTCTGGAGTGTCATCTGAGCTTGATGATAATCCATACAGACACCAAACGCAGAGCCATCCTGCTGAGCACCACAGAGGTAAAAGTTTGACTTTGTATATGTGTTTCCAACATGTTTAGTATGAAGTTTCTGTATGCTCTATTGATAGTGATGTGTCGTGGATGACCATGGCTCTGCACTACGTATTTTGATCATAATGGCAGATAATTTGACAGATGCTTTATTGAATTTTCTTTTGATGATATGTCACACCTCAACCATGAGTAATGAAAGAATCTTGTCTAGCCTTTTGCTTTTAATTTAAAATTCAGGTGGAGTAGACGAAGCTTCTCCTCTATTGGGTCTATTGCAGAGCTTTACTTTTTAGTTCTGTTTTTCTTGTTTTAGTTATCTTTTGATGCAATAATATGATGCTCAATGTTTGAAGTCGCGCAAAAGCAAAAAAGCATGTTTGAAAATTTACAGCATGTAAGAGTATATACTTATTTTTGCTGTTGATGATGTCTTATTCCCGTGTCTATATTCCCTTGCAGATGAAGATAATGTTTCGTCTGTTGTTGCCAACCTTCAAGAATTAAGAGTAGAGAATCATGATCAATACGCCTCGCATGATGAGGAGAGACCTGCTGTCGTAATTCCAGATCATCTGCTAATCCATACAGAAGAGTGCTCACAGTTAAGCTTTGGAAGTTTTGGAGGTTTTGGATCAAGGCCTTTGAGCAACAACTTAGAAGAGGCTTCTGATGTAGCTCGACAGATTGAACGTGTTGATGCTAGGCATGCCCTTACTACCGATTTTCCTTTTCCAAATAGTTTCTGGGCTCTTTTTCTTTGTACTCACCATTTTTGGGTTGTCTTGTGCACAGAAATACAGAGTTCTATGGAGATGAACATCTTGGAAGCATGTCCAATGGAAATATGGTCCATGTGACTACAGAAAATTATGATGATTCGTCAGAATCTCAGCGAGAGGTTTTGTTGCCAGAAAATCCGGAAACTGCTCATCAGGAGAACCAGTACTCGTTTGCTCACTCTGAGCCAGAGTATGCATATGAAAATGCCAAGCAACAGAATACTGCATTTGATGCTTCACAGCCAAACATGCAGAATCTTGCCTCGTTAACAAATGTGATGGTAAGCTACATATATTTCAACCAAGTGCTTAAAGTTATGCAGCTTATGGTTTTCGATTACAGCTTGAAGTGATCATTCCTTTATATTATAAAGATGTATTGATATGGATTGCTATTCAGATTTTCATCGAAAAGATAGTTTGTATAATATCCGTATAATTCTTGGTTGACGTCATTGGTTTCAGCAAGGGTATACACACTCAGTTCCCAACAACCTATTGGCACAAACAGCACAAAGTGTAAGGGAGCTTGAGCTTCAGTACTCAACTTTCCCAGGCGTACAGTCTATGCCGTCAAGAAGCTATGATTCGTCGTTTGGTGGCCAAACTATGTCCATGCCAGAGGTGATCCCTTTACTTGTAGACATGAATGCTTCTTTTAATTTATAGCTTATCTTTGTTTTCTTTGGCGTCTGTTTGGAATTTGGTGTGAAGAAACTAAGGTTCTCTTGTGATTGTATCCATGACCACTTTCTTGTTTGCTTGATGAAAAGCATAAATACTTGGAAGAAATTCAATTTCTTTCAGTTACATGTCTAACTTATTTCTTGTCCATCTAAATTATATAGGAAATGTTCGATTTACAATGTTGTGGTTATATTTTCTACATGCAGGCATTCAGAGGTGGTGGTACTCCAACAACGCAGTCAAACCAGCAGAGCTTAACTGGTGCCAATATTGCTACTGGACCAGCCCTTCCTCAACAGCTTGCAATGCATCCATATTCTCAGCCCCCAGTGCCTCTGGCTCACTATGCCAACATGATCGGTTACCCGTTGATGCCTCAGAGCTACCCGTACATGCCATCAGCTTTCCAGCAAGCATTTCCTGGTAACAGCTCATACCACCAATCACTGGCTGCTTTGCTTCCGCAGTACAAAAACAACATTTCCGCAAGTAATTTGCCTCAGTCAGCAACTTCTCCTGCTACCTCCGCCTATGGGTTTGGGAACTCGAGCAATGTTGGAACCGGGAACTTCCCTCTTAAC